TATTCAATTCTACTATTACTTAGCATATGTGGTGGATACGCTTGGCAGTATATTTAGCACTGGTGCTCCAGTTACATTATGAGAAGAGTATACTGTTAAATGACTACGTAAAATTCATAACTTTTACATACAGATACCATTTTCATCTTTCTTTTTATCATTGAGCTCCTATTAATGAGATCTTCAACTCTCATTTAGGTCGCGTTGGCCAAAAACTGCTCGATCTAAAATTCGAATACCGGGTTGTGCACTGTTATGCCAAATCTTAGAAAAATCGTAACTTCCTCATACGAAGTCAGATTTGGGCGTTCTTTTTATGCACGCTCTTGGTTTAACGTATACTATGACTTTTTTTAGATCACTAAGGCTAAAAAGTCATCTATCGTAAATTGACTATTTTGTTTAACGTATACTATGACAATTGTCAGGTATCATTATTGTTCAATTTAAAATTCATGTTTAAGACTTATTCGACAAGTTGATGCTATGACTCGACGAGTAGAAGTGAGTTGGGACACATCAATTAATGAGTTGACTTGATGAGTCGGGAAGGGGACTCGTCGAGTAGGAGTTGGCATAGGAAAGGTTTTTGCACCCTTTATATTGGACCATTAGCGCCTCCCACTGTCCCTTATCACCCCTTGAGAGCCAGAAACCCTAATTTCGTGTGTGTGAGATTTGTGAGTGTTTTTGAGCTTTTGGAAGTGATTTAGTGAAGGAAACTTGTAGATCAAGAGGCTTGCATCAAGGAAATTCGTGTAGATGTTGAATCCATCTCAATTTGGGCATGTTTTGGAGGTGACCAGCTATTACTTTGATCTCTTTCTTCTTAGAACCTCTCATGGATGGAGTTAGGGCTTTCTTTAGCATATTCATGAAGGGAGTGTGGTGTATAAGCTAGATCTAAAGTTATAACTTCATATCTGAACATCCCTTGGGTCCTAAGTTCATAAAGTTCCATGTATGGCTATGAAAGAACCCTTCCTTATGAGTAGAACTTCATTTCAAGCTTGGATTCGGATTTTGAGGCATGTAAATACGTAAAGGTAGCAACTTTACGTTGCTAATACACTCTAGGGACCTAGATATACTGTTTGGAACGAAAGAATAGTTCTGTATCGCTTGAACATGGGAATAACTGCATGGACTCGGCGAGTCTGGGAGATGACTCGACGAGTCGAGTAGGGTTTTTGTCCGAATTGGTCCCGTGTGGACTCGGCGGGTTTGGGAGATAACTCGGTGACTCAGTTTGGGTTTTCAAGCACTGGGTTGCGTATTGACTCGAAGATTCTGTTAGAGACTCGACGAGTCGAGTCGGGTAATTCATGAATCAGTAGGGACTCGATGAGGGGAAAGTTGCACTCAGCAATAGGACAACATGGACTGTTGACCATTGAACAGTGACTTTGACTTTGACTGGGGATTGTCTTGTGCCTTCCAAGGGAATTTTGTTAATTTGAGTATTTATTGGTAAGTCACTCATGTCTGTCTAATTAGGAGGCCCATTATGCATGTTGTTGTTATTTGTTATTGATATGGTATTATCAGTGTGGTATTGGTATTTTGGGGGTAACTCACTAAGCTCTTGAGCTTACAGTTTCAGTTTATTGTTTCAGGTACATCAGGAGATCGTGGCAAGGCAAAGGCGTGACCGTACCGCTCCTCATCCTTATGATTTTAGTTTCTGGGACACTCTGATGAATAATATTTTGAAAACAATTTGTATAACACTATTTGGTTTTTAATGGTTGGAAAATTTTAAATTTGGCTTAAAATTTTGGATGTTACACACTATTTACGTCACACAGCATCGTGCCGGTTTTGTCGCGAAACTTCGACATGTCATAACTTCTTCGTTATAACTCGGATTTCGGTGTTCTTTATATGTACGGAATCCTTGTCACGACCACTAAATCTTTCTTCATCGATATCGGGTTTATGTAACACATTAATTTTGATGCTTATTTTTATCCTTTATTTGTTATACCTTTCTAAATAAGTATAAAGCACATAAATTCACATAATTCACATAATACTCAAATAATTCATCTTTAATACTTCAAAATAGTTAACAATGGTTGACCTGGATGTTACATCACTACACTAATGCTTATCCAAGAAATCGGGCATTACAGTAGTGCTCAAAACTACCGAGTTGATTCAGCAGGTGTGCAACCATCTACGAGTCGCACAAAGTTGTCAGAAAAGTTATGCTGACCGGCGTCGATCGGATCTTGAGTTCCAGGTGGGGGACTTTCTCCTACTAAAATTGTTGACCTGGAAGGGATTCATCAGGTTCCAGAAGAGGGGCAAGTTAGGGCCCCAATATATTGTCCTGTTCGGGATTTTGGCCTGAGTGGGCAAGGTGGCGTACCGTTTGGATCTACCATATGAGCTCAAATAGATACATAACACCTTCCATGTGTCTCAGCTTCGGAAGTGTGTCACAGACGAGGCCGCGATTATTTCCTAGGATGACATTCAGGTGGATGAGAGTTTAAAGTACATTGAGAGGCCCGTTGCAATTCTGGATAAGAAGACTAAGGTTCCTCAGAACAAGGAGGTGAAGTTAGTTAATGTGCAATGGCAGAACCGAAGAGGCTCCGAATGGACATGGGAGCTGGAAGAGGAGATGTAGGATCATTACCCTGATTTGTTTGTGTCAGTGGACTTTGAGAACAAAGTCTAGTTCATGTGGGGAGATTTGTAACGCTTTTTCCAGGTATCATTTATTTTAATAAGTTTTTAGGGTTTTGCATTGGGACTCGACGAGTTGGGGAGCCCAACTCGATGAGTAGAGATCGATATTGGACGCGGGACTTAGGGTCTACTCGACGAGTTAGAAGGCCCTAACTCAATGAGTAGGCACTGTAAAGGAAAACCCTAATTTTCTGGGTTTAGTACCCTATTTCAAGAAGTTAACCATTAGGGTTGGTCTCCTTACCAGCCTCCTAACTCATAGAAACTCTAGAACCGCCTCCCCCTCTTGTTCATTGAAGTTCTGAGTGTTGTGGTGTGATTTTTGAAGGAATTCTTGAAAAGAGAAGTAACAATCCTGGAGCAGTAACATTGGATCCAAAAACTCTACATCAAGGGATGCATTTTGAAGGTATAAAGCCATAACCTTGACATGTAGTGTATTAGATCTCATCTTTTGCTAGTTTAGGGCTTGTTTTGGAACTTTGGGTTGGATGTCCCAAGATAAGAGTCGTCCAGAGGTTAGGAGTGTAGATCTGGCCTTTATAAGACCTCTAGAGGATTGAAGTTTCAAACTTTAATAGCCTCCATGTCCTATTCATGCATTAAGTCCACAATGAAGGCAAAAATGGATCTTGGAGAGTATTTTACGCATGCATGGACATAAAGTTAGAAACTTTACATGAATTTTCCACCCTTGGACATCAGATCTGTGTTTTGGATCGATGGGATGTGAATTTAGAGGCTTAATGAGTCAAGACCTTCCTCAAAGAAGCTAGGGTTTGAGTCTAAGGCATCTTAGATGGTCTTTGGGGGTAAAGTCAGAAACTTTACCCTTCTAGACATCTCTATTGTTAAGCATCTGTTGTATGGGGCTTTAGATTCGACTGAAAGGATCGATTATTTAAAGACAAGGAAAAATCGATGAGTTGCCCTGGCAACTCGGCGAGTTGGATCGGGTTTTCCTGTTTTCGGTCTATAGAGTAAACTCAGAGAGTTGGATCAGATTTTTTCTGTTTTCGGTCTGACGAGTAACTCGACGCGTTGATGAGATAACTCAACGATTTGGTTAAGGTTTTCTCTGGTTTTCTAAACACTGAAGGGACTCAACGAGTTGCTAGATGCACTCGACGAGTTGGGTCAACATGGACTGTTGATCTTGACTGTTTACCACCATTTGACCAAGGTTGGCCAAGTTTGACTTTGAGGGTACTTTTGGTATTTTGGAATTTTGACTAAACTAGTCACATGATGATTGTGGGCAGTTGAGTTGGAGCTGTGCATTGGGACTTATCTGATTTTATCTTATCAGGTCAACACTCTTGAGAGGTGAGTCTCCTCACCATACCAATGGGTCGAAGGCACCAATGCTTTCCTATTTTATGTTGTACGGTACACTAGTTGATACAGTAATATGTGGTATGCTAGTTGGTTATATGATAGATGGTATGCTAGTTGTATATGTGATATACTTGCATGAAATACCATGGGGAGGCCCATGCGCTTAGATGTAAGACCATGTAGGGTAGGGGTCATGGCTTTTCAGGTAAAGACCATAGGGGAGCCCATGACGCTTGGATGTAATACCATGCGAGGGAGCCCATGGGTTTTCAAGTAAAGACCATGGGGGAGCCCATAACACTCGCATGTCAGACCATGTGGGGAGCCCATGTCTTTCCAGCTAAAGACCATGGGGGATCCCATACCACTTAGGTGTAAGACCATGTGGGGGAGCCCATGGCATCCTGGAGTAAGACACGGGGAGGAGCCCACGGCATCCTTATATGTTTGTATGTGTGGCTTATGTGGTTATGTAGCTTTTATAGCTAATGTGGATTATGTGATTATGTGGATTGTGTGGGGTATGATCTAGGAACTCACAATTTATTGATTTGTTTCAAGTACATCTGAGCCTAAGGGAAAATGCAAGGCTTGATGGCGCGACATGTACTCTTCGACATTTGATTTGATAGGACACTCTGATGCTTGAAATAAAATGTTAATGTTATGGATTTTGAAAACAACTGTCATTGTTACTTCATATTTGAAAACAATTGTCATTGTTACTTCATAAAATGTTAATGTTATGGGAATGTTTTGGTTAATTAAAAATGAAAATTTTATTTGAAAGTTTGGATCGTTACATCATATGCCTCTGTTGCTCCCCTTACTTCAAATTAGTTTAATCCACTAGGTAGTACTTGAAAAATTCTTTGAAGTTTTTTAAGTAAATTTATCTTATTCCTTATCTCTAGATAAATATGATTTCCTCATTTTGTCCTTTCAATTTCATGTTGTACAATCTATCCATCATGTATTCTCAACTCTTCTAACATGGTGATAATAGGCTTCTTCCTGGCATCTACTATTACAACATTAAAACTCTCAAAAAATCTATTCTCAACAACATCACAACACCTGCCAGGTTGAAAGAAAGCTCTTGACCAAGTCTTGGGATCTTTTTCCATGAGGTATTGATGGGAATTTGGGTTCCGTGTCATAATTTCCTCCACCACAACTTCAAATGCATTCTCAGTTGTAGCCTTTGATGTTATCCAAAACACCGTATGATAGATGGCCCCTGTGAATCTCTTCGATAAATTTTGGAAAATATGTCTAGCACACTGTATGTGCTCTACATATACAACTCTTTAACAACCTCAATCAAACCATGTATTAATAAAAAGGTATATGTCAAAATTATGAATAAAAATATAAATGTATTACTGTATAATATATTAACCTTATGTTGGTCTAACATTAAATTGTATCCATTGCCTAAATTCAAATTCGAAACATCAATGAGTAAATCCAAAAACCACTTCCAATTCTGCTTTTTCTCCACACAAACCATTGCCCAAGCAATATGATATATCTAGTCATTTGCATCCCTCCCAACCGCACAAAGCAATTCCGCTTTACAAACCACTTTCAGAAAACAACCATCAAGACATTTTACTCCTTGAAAACACACATATAATTTGCTAAAATATTTCTTTCCATTTGAACCAGTCTCCATATCAAGTTTGACAGTTGACCCTGGATTTGTTCTTAAAATCTCATGGCCAAATGATCACAGCTTACCATAATGTTCAACAAGACTACCTTCAATAAGGTTTAGTGCATACTTTTTTGCTCTCTTACATTGCCACATGCTAACTTGAATACTAAACTTGGTCATTACCTTAACCTTGAGTTTCCTTACACTCATTTTCTGATTCCATACAATTTCTTTGGTATAGTGACTACCAATCCATGCATATGTCACCAGTGATCCTAACTTGAAGTTCCTATCACAATTATGATAATCTTTTAGTGACTTTATTTGGAAACTCTCTTCATCACTCATCCAAGAAGCCCATAATCTAAAGCAAGCACCCTTACTACACCTCACCAAAAGTCTTTTCCTATCATTTTTTTCAAAGCACGGTTGATATCCATTAGCTACATCATAGTTACACAACACTGATTTTACTTGCCATGGACCCTTAAATCTCATTCCTAGAATTGGTTTTTTTGTTTTTCCAGTGTAATAACTCATTAGGTATAGAATGAGTTTGGAGGTTAGGTTCAAATTACCTCCCATCATCATCATTTACAATGTTGCTATCATCCTCCTCATCAACACATAACTTACTCAAGAAATGATCATTTGATGTCCTATTCATATGCACTACATCCTCATTAAATTCCAACTCAACATTCCTAAGTTCATCTATGTTATCTTCATTTTCACCATCAATACAATACTCATGTCCATCATCATCATTATCTTCATCATTAAACCACCCATCAACACCAACCCCAATATGATCCACATAAACATAAATTATACAGTTTGTTTCATAAGCATCAAAAATAAAAGTAGCATATTCCACATCATCTGAAATAGGATTAAGCCCTTCCATAAGGCAAACATCTGGTTCACAGTAGTACAACTTTTTACAATCTTCATGCATGAAACGTTCGAAGAAGGTCACACACTTAGAATAAGTCATAGAAGAAAAGTCAACATCCTTGAGCATGTTTTTCACACCACCGGTGTAAAAGAAAAGATTAAAAGTAAATACACATTGGTAGTTAAGTTCCACCATGGCAAACAGTCCATTAGGTTCCGATTGTACCATTGTAACGACTTCTTTGATATTTCAACTCGATCACAAAAATGTTTCACAAACTCTAGTTCAGTTTCGTTTACAGTAAAAAATGAAGAATGAAGGTCAACAAGTGAAGATGATAGGCTTTAAGCATCGTATATTATTTAATGACGTGACATATCTCACGTGTCATCGGATTAACCAAAAAATAAAAATTAATTGACACATATACAATGTCAACCGGGAAACCATTTAAAATCGGGAAAAATGACTAAATTGAAAGATCAAATACGAATAGTGGTAAAAAAAAAAAAAAAAAATTAGAGACCAAATCGAACAAATGCCAAAACTTTAATGTGCTAGAGTGTCATTTTCTCTTTATCAGGATCCACAAACATCAATCGATGCTATTAACAGTAAAGATATTGATAACCTTTATTGCTTGGAAGTGTTTGATTTCTCAGACATAATATTAGCTTTACTATTCTAATGAAGCTATGAGAAAGATGTTAACGAATAATCCACATCCTAACACCTTATTCTTCAACACATGCTGATCACAAATATTTCTAATTTATTCAACATAAGAAAATTTATCACACATTTATATTGTCCTATATCCTATATCAACATATATACTATAACTTTGAGTGTCGACAGAAGTATACAACCATCAATAAACCACACATAAAAAAACTCCCTGTAATTGCCAGACTCATAACTCATATTTTATCAAAACAAAGACATATATACTAAAAATATATGTATAATCTCTCATGAACATTACAGAATTAGTGATGAAAAAACTATAAACATGATATAAAAATGGCATAATAGAATCAATGAAAGCTACACAGCTGGTTTGTTCTTTGGAGCTGACACAGTTTCAAGGTTTACATCTCCAACACCTTTTATTGGTCCAATGCTGCATCGATCCGTGTTATGTGTCTGAATTGCATCCTTAATTTTCTGAAACTGTAAATGCAGTAATACATCTAATTTCAATAAATTCCAAAAAAGATTATATAAATAGCACTCAAATGCATTCACAGCTTATACTCCACAAACCATCATGCAATTCCACAAGCATTTGCGGGTTGTACAAAACTAGTCCTTGTTTTTTCTGATCTTTATCAAATTTAATCCAAAACCGAAACAATTTTCAAATTTGGTTCTAAGAAACAAAATCAATGTGAAACGGTGAACAAAGGTCAGAAAATGTAAAAGGTTTCAAGTTTGGACTTGATCACGGTAAAAATCAGAAACCACAGGGACCGTTTTTGTAATTTATTGAAAAAGTTGCTTACTTTGGCAAGTGAACATGAAAAAGATTCGAGTTGTCCATCAGCTCCACGATAAAAATGGAAATAAGGAAGAACTTTCACATTCAAGTTCTTGCACATCGGTTTGTTCTCATCAAAGTTGACTTTCAAGAACAAGATTTCAGGGTGTTCTTGTGCTGTTTTGCAAAGCTGAAAAATATTAATCAAATAATAACATCAATCAACAATGATTAAAAAAACAAAATTTCCTCAAAAAAGTATAATGGTTCTATGGTGGGTTTGTGATTATGAAATACCTGAAGCGTTAATAGGAAAATGAAAGTAAGATTAAGTAAAAAATAAAATTACCTTTGGGAATAAAGCACGACAAGAAGCACACCATGTTCCATAGAATTCAACAATAACTAATTTATCTCCAGCTTCACTTAAGGAGTTCAAAAACTCTTGTGTTGAATGGATGTCAATCATATTTGGTCCTCCATTTCTCTCCCACCATTTTGGTTGTTCAGTTTCTGTAATTGTTGCATGTATCTAAAACAGGAATCAAACAAGTATAACTGTTATTCGTATTTTTCATGATGATTTCACAAATCTTGAAAATGTAGCGCCATAGTTTCATCGAACTTATTCGCGATGTCACTTCTGCTGTAAAAAACAAGATGACGAATGGAAAGAAAAGGATAAATAGACAGGAACGTGGGATATTGTAATGTTATTTCTACACAGTAAATGAGAGCAAACAGATCAAATTTTCTCAAATTCAAAACCAAATGCAACCTAATATCTCAGGAATAGCACCAAGAAAAAAGCTATTTAGCCTATTTGAGAATTAAATCTGCCGAGACTTATCATTGAATCAAAACCTGGATTCCCAATTCGATGAATTCGCATAATTGTGTATAGATTCATTCAAATCGAAGCCAAGTATTTCATGGTTTCTCAATTTCATTGCACATATTGGTTAAGCCCCTTTTGAGTTCCAGAAATAATTCAGAAATGAAGTGAACTAACGTCATTCCAATCATTCAATTTTCGAACAGAAACAAAATAATCGAAAATATCCCCGAATGGGTTTTGAATTACTCTCAAACCCCACAATAAAACCCTAAAGTGCTGAAACGAAAACGAAGTTTCCTGAAACTTCACCTTGAATTGCGACGCTTGCTTTCGGGGGTTGATTGCAAATCGAGCATTAACAATAAAATCAGAAGATAATAACGAATCAGCATCAACTGACAGTACCCTCTTGCTGTTGTTTTTGTACAGTAATTGATTTTGGTGAAGAGAATTCAATGACGTAGATAACGAGGACGAATTGAATGATAGCAACCGAACAAAAGCTGCCATTGCGCAGACACAACAGAGATTGAATTACAAAGGTATATAAAGATAGAATTGATTACAAGGGTGTTTATACAATTATTTGGAGTGTTTGTATTGAAGTGGGAAGATCAGACGCGATAGAAGAAACTGTGTTTATGGTTTTGGGGATTTTGGGAAGAAACACGACCTCGATGAGGACTCTGCACAAAATTTCGATGAACAAGTGAGAGGATTTGTGTGAACCAGAATGTACCAAAAGTAAGTAAAATTAAATTAAATTAAATTAAAAAAAAATAATAATAATAAAAAAAGTACATCTTGCTTAAAATCGGTTTGGGGATTATCCCCTTTTCTTTTAAAAAATTAGATGATAATTAAATTATAGTCTCCAAGATTTGTTAAATACTTAAATGTCGAATCTTAAATAGCACTCGACTTGTGAGTATAATAATAATAATAATAATAATAATAAGTTTAAACATATGTTAGCACAATTATGAATATCATCAACAATACTCAAATTATATGAATATCAAGATCATCAGTACCCAAATTCAATAGAAATAATAAGGTCAATGAAGGTAAGATGTATATAATCATACATCCATTATCCAACTAAGGGCAAAAAGATTGATTATATTAATGAATTTAAATATAAAGAATAACGAATGAAAGAAATTAAATACTCTCCTACAAAATTATTCTACTTTTCTTCCTACTCATTGGATTATGATAAACCTCGTAATCGATCAATAAGATAAAAAAAATTAATGGATTACACTAACAATCAATGAATAGGTATGAAGATGAAGTAGATGATAAAATAAGAATTAGACCATGTTTGATATGTTGTTGACTGAGTCAGGTCAGACGTTTTTTGCTGACTCGATCAGTTGAACCTGATTGATAAACCATCTGAACGGGAAATTGAAGTCCGACCCGGTAAGAAAGAAGGATTCAACTGACCGAAAAAGGAAGACATCGTTTCCACTTGTGCCCTTGCGTGTGTATCCCTATACGTGTGCGTGTGTATCGTATCCCAGCAGGAAGAATCGATCCAACACCCCCTTTACGATCTCGTTCTTAATAGACACTCAAAATCGATCATCCAACACCCCCTTTGCTTTCATAAAATCAATCACATCCCATCAAGAATTGGACCCTATCCTTCTCTCTAGATCGATCGATGGACTGCCTCTCCACTTCGGTTCCAATTTAATTGTATGTATGTTTCCCCTTCTTATCTACGTTTATATCTCCAACAGTAGTAAGAAATCGGATCCTACCCCTTCTTCTAAATCGAGTGTGTTTGTTATATGCTTATACTAACAGTTGATAGAATTGGATATAACTAGATATAACTGTTGATTAAATTAGATATAATTCCTGATTCACTCAACAAGTTTGATTGGTGTTGTCAAAATCTAATGGTGATGTTACGATACATGTAAGACATTGGATGGATACACTTGAATTTGTTTGACCACAATACTTTTGCTACAATTATGCCCCTACAATTGATGTGCCATGGGATATATCACAAAGTTGCTGGTAACTATCTTGATTTGGACAATTTTGCCCCTACACAAGTTTTATCTGGAAAAGCCTTTTGCTCCTCTGTTTAGTAGAGTTTGGTTATATTAGTTTGATTTGGTCATGATGTCGAATCTAGTTTTTATTTGTCTATTTGTTTTGTTGGTGTACTCCTTTGAGTGATTGCTCAATGAAACCAATCCGCCAAATAGAATATGTATATGGTTTGTTACTTGGTCAGGATAAAATGATCATTATTCATCGGTCAACACATTCAATCAGACGTATAATCAAATAATATGGTTTCCTACTCGGTCAGTATTTCTTACCCAGACAGACATTTCTCGATCAACACTTTCTCAATCAGCAACTATAAAATGAGACCTTAATTTAATTTTCCATAACAAATTCATAAGGAAGAATAAAACCGGAAAGTTAAAAATGAAAGAGATACAACTACATATAGAAATATGTCAAAATTAAAAAGGCAATGAAACACCTATAATAGGTTTTGTTCATTATGTGTTGTTTAAACAAGTCATCCACATTAAAATGTTTGGAGAAAAAAATCCCAAAAGAAATAGAAGTTTTTTTTTTGGATGGGAGGAATTCCTATTTTTTTTTGTTTGTGCCACATAAAGAGCATGTAGATATTTTCTTTTGCAAATTATTTGCTTTTTAGAAGATCCTTTGAGACCTAAAAAAATATTAGTGTTTTTTAATTGGAGTAGACATGAACTCACTTTTTTTCCAAGTATATAGAAATCTTCGGGTAAAATAGAAAAAAAAAAATCTTTTATATCCTTACAAACTTTAAATAATACTTTTATATCTTTACAAATTTTAAAATTATATATACGTCCCCTAAAACTATAAAACTCATATTTATATCCAAACTAATATTTATGAAAAACTAATCTAAAATCCAAATACCATATGATATTACTAAACTACTATTTTAAACTACTATTTTTAAACTGAAAATTATAATTAAACTAATTTAATCTTTAAAATCTATATATCCAAAATTAAAAACATGTTCATAAATATACAAAATTCATAAAACTACATTACTTAATACTCCATCCAACCCAAAATTATTGTCCACGTTTGACTTTTTAAGTCTCTTTTGTTCAACTTTGACCTTAAATAATTTATTTTTTGTTATATAATTGTAACATTGTAAATTTTCAAATCAAAATTTTCATTTTAAAACACAATAAAACACATGTTACATTTTCTCAAAAATCACAAGTATAAATTTATCAACACATATTTCAAATTGTTTATCACAAATCCAAGATCTTCAAAAAAAATATATCTCCACCTCAGATATGTGTACAATCAAGCCAGTGCCTTCCCGCGATCCTGAGAAGTATCTGACATACATATCACATAACACGATAAACAAGAAGCTTAGCGAGTTCTGCAAAATACCACACACAACTCATTAGCCACTCGAGGCTATAACTCAATAAGACCCTCTGGTCAATGTGTCTCAGTGGGACTCTCTGGTCCCACAGCTCGGGTGAACCCTCCGGTCACAACTCAGTAAACTCATAATAATACACAACATAAATCACAAAGACATAATGTCAGATATCACAATACTCAATATAAACATATAAGACCCTTCGGTCACAAAACTCAGATTACCACTCTAGGTATGTATAGTGAGAAGGCTCACCTCGTAAGCAAGCAAGTAACAACCTCGTACACGTAGTCTCGAACTAGCCTCCGCCTAACACATAGAATAATTACCTCTAATTAATACTCTATTCACATTCAAAATAAACTGAAGGTTACACACACACACACACACACTCTCCATAACTCTTAAGATGGGTAAAAGACTAATTTACCCCTCCATTGACCCCAAAATCCTTGACTTGGCCAAATCCTAAAGTCAACAGTAGTCAATACTCGAGTCAACTGTCCATGTTGACCTAACTCGCCGAGTGCACCAATGTGACCCGTCGAGTCCACTTGTATCTCAGAAGTCTCGTGAAGGTCCAACTCAGCTCATCGAGTTGACCCCCAACTTGCCAAGTTTTCGCATGATCAAGCTCATCGGGACAAACCCTAACTGACTCGTCGAGTCAGCTCATAGACTCGGCGAGTCCCTTAAATCCGATTTCTCATTCAGACATTTCAAAGCAGATCTACCACTCCAAATACTAAATCTAGCATCCTAAGACTCGATTGTCACGTAAAGCTTCGATATTTACGTAAATGCATGGTGATTTTGCTCCAACATACCAATACATGCTCTCACAAGGTATTAAGTACAATAACCCTCATATGGATGAACAAAGTTAGGACCTTTGGACACTAGGGACCTCACAAGGTCTAGATATGAGGTCTAAACCTCATAATAACCTTGTATGCTTGAAGTCATAATAAAAGGTGGTAGAAACCCTAATCTTCCGTAATCATGAGATCCAACCAAATAAGTGAGAAAGATGCATGCTTTTTACCTTCCACTTGAAGCTTTGGATGAATTGGCCCTAGATCCAACAGATCCTCCTTGTTCCTTGCCAGACAAACTCCCATTCTCCTCAAAAGATGCACTAAAATTCCTCAAGATTAGCTTTGTGACTCTCTTAGCTCACTACACACGTTTAGGGTTTCACACAAGGAGATTAGGCAACTGGTGAGGCGGAAATGAGGACATAAGTTTCCTTAAATTGTCCCCAAACCTGGGGATTTAGGATTTCATCTTGCAGTGCCTACTTGGTGAGTCAGCTCCCTAACTAGTCGAGTCGGTTATTAGACCCACATGGTTAATCAGTCTCTACTTGATGAGTTGAGGCACCAACTTGTCGAGTCGTTTAATAAATTTCAAAAATAAATAAATAATATACCTGGGAGCCCGGATGTTACAATTCTCCCCCACTAGAATCAGACTTCACCCTCGAACTCATGCTTCAGAAATAACTCTGGATACTGCTGAATGATCAGTGATTTTGTTCCCAATGGAAACATTAAGATAAACAAGGGTTGGAAGTGTTTTGTTTAGTCTGGAATTTAATAAGGATTTGGCTTGGTAGTGGTTCAGTATGGGCAGTCTATCGGGGAGTCAGAACAATTCGAGATTCAGGTTTCGGGGAAGGTAGAAGTGGTTTTCTGCATGGGATTAAGGATTCATTCTTCTTCGGGTTAGGAGAGTTCTGCTAAGGTTGGGTTTGGTTATAATCGGGAAGGCTATTGTACGCTTGGGGTTGTCATTGTGTTGTTCAAGTTTTTCTGGTGTGCCTGGGATGATAAGGAATGATTTTGAGGATGAAATATAATTTATCTAGGGGAGAGTTGTAACACTTGGAATAGAGATATTCCATATTTTCCCTTCGGAATTGTAAGAATTACAATTTGGTAATTGTAAGTAGTACGTGGGGCATACCATAGGGTACGCTTAACATACTAGCTGAGAAGCTAGTACATGGGGCGTACCTCATGTGTATGCTTAGCATACTGATGGAGGATGGTCGTGGGTCTGAGGCCTCATACGTTGGACATACGAGGAGGAAGAGAACACCCTAATTTTCGAGGTTGTACCATATTTAAGGCATAAGTGAGCTTCTTGTTTCCTTGTTTAACTAGCTTCCTCACCCTTTAAAATCCTAATACGTTCCTTAGTCATTTCTTGGTGCTTTTGAGCTCTTGTGAAGCTTTTTGCAGAGGATTTTGTGCATCTTGAAGGGAATGAAGAGACCTGGAGACTCATTCTTTGGAGGAGGGATTTGAGATCTAACTTTAGCACCTTCTTTTGGTGGCTTATGAGGTATAAATTTCAAAACTTTCCATTACATTTTTTAGATCTACTCCTTGGCATGTTTTGGTCATTTTGGTCCTTTTGGTTGGTGATTGGATGTTAAGGTCGTTTTTAGAGCTTAGCCTTATAGATTTGGACATATTAAGGGTTCCTTATTCATAATGGTGCAAAATTTATGGTGGGTTTGGTTTCATGCATGTATTAAGTAATTTATTAAGCTCTTTTAAGCTCTAGACCCCCATTTAGACATGCATACACATAAAGTTGGCAACTTTATGTGATTAACCACCTTAGGGAAGTCAAATCTGAGTTTGGATCCAAGTCTTATTAGATTCACAGTTGAATTGGGAAAGTTGGCCAAGCCGGTGAGTATGCGGGGCGTATAAGCATGTATAGTATGCGTACAATCCCTTTAAGCAGTGCGCTGTACGTACAGGCTGAGTACGCCCCCGTACTCAGTAGACTTGGGTTTCGTTGTTTTGGGATTTAGATTTGTGCTAGGATGGGTTTGGTTGTCTTGGGCCATTTTAGGCCATCATAATTCATTGGTTGGGCTATTGGGATTTGGTTGGATTTTCTTGGGAGAAGGCTTATGAATGGGATTGGGCTCAATTTGGAAAATTAGGCTATAATTGGGCTTTGGTTGATTATTTTTAGATTTTGGGCTTTTGATATAT